CTTGAAATGGACACCTTCCGAAAACTCCAGCCAAGATGCTAGAATGCTGCTGGACACCTGCAAGGCTTTGAGGAACAGCAGGTCTCGGGAAACGTATCTGGATGAGAACATTTCTCTTGAGGAAGGCTTGCGCGCCTTCGAGGGGAATGTTTTGCACGGTCTCAGTCACAGTACTGTTCTAATGCTAGCACTGATGACCTGGCATTTTGATGCTTCGTCTTCTGAAGCCTCGCAGGGCTTGATTACTTTCTTGAGACAGCCTCACGACAATGAAGTGAGGAGAATACTCCAAGGTCGCTACTTAAGCATTATGCGTGAGACGGCCCCTTCGAACTTCGACTTTTTTCTTGTCCTAAATTGAGCCTATCTGGTGATCAGAGAAATTGCATAGCATGAATGGGTTTAGATGTATTTAACCAACGGTATCCAAGCTTTTTCAGACGGCCACCAATGTCTTGGAGATAGCCATCATACCAGTCCCTTAAATCCTCATCTAAGCAGGAAAACCTCAAAGCATCGAAAAGCATATACAAGCACATTCCCCAGCGTATCCGACAAACTTCTCGTCAGTCTGCTATCTAGAAGGCCATCGTACGTTCCTCACAACAACCCCAAGCTCCACAAATCGTCCAAGACCTGCAGGACAAGCGTGAATCGCTTTTCCCCTTGTACTTACCAACAAGCAGCGAGGAGAGCAGCGACGGTTCTTCAAGCACTCGTCAAATTGCGCCTTTCTCTTGCCATGTCCCAACTTCGCTGCAACCATGTCCGCTCGCTGATTTCTACAAACTCGTCGTCTTATGCGAAAATCAACAGCAACTGGGGAAAATCCGCCTCCGGATTTGTTATGTGGCGTTCTTTCGCTTGAATAATGCCGTACAGCCAGGTAGCCAGTACCAATACGATGATGCTTCAATGTTCATAGCCCATCTGATAAGAGATTCGGGCTGTGAAGACTCACTTTCCGACATTGAACGTCGCGTAAGACACTGGGTTGGGCTAGGAGAGCGATACAGTCTGCTAGCTAATGACCTTGGAGGGCTGGGGGTATTGTATCTCCTTCCACAAGATGGTGGTGAGTCGATGTAAGTGGCAATCTAATAGAGAAGGAAGTAACTTTACTGACAACGCTGTAGCTGGACCAAGGAGCTGCCCAGATCGGCGAAGATGGCTAGAAGAATTGCCATGTTGAACCACCTGAGGCAGAAAGGATTGCCAGAAGAAGCTCAGACACGTGGTCTTCATGCCTTGGCAGAGGACGAGGCTGCAAAGGTTCTGGGGCCGATCAAAGCCTCATTAGAACGAGTGATGGAGAGCCAACTATCAGAGGCAAATGCCCATATTGTGGATGAAAGCCGACAGTCTAATAGGACTTGGCCACAATTAGATATCCCTCAAATTCGGCAGCCTAGCGCCGGTATGTCCTGTAAAATGTTGGCGACTTTTTCTCATATCAATTCAGGGACCCCGTGTTCTCAATCTGGATCACCAGTTGCTACACAGGTTGCTTCCACTGTGGGATCCCCATGTAACGCCATGTTTAGTGGTCAAGCGACTTCGGAAATGGTGCAAGATGTGAGCAACTTACATTGTGAGCCTTCGCTCACACAAATATCATTGCAAAATTGGCCGGACATTGTGATGTCACAAGTTCACACCCATGGGCTTGAACTCGTGTACATGCCAACGAAATCGGGATCATGTGAAACTCTCATTTCTCACAAGCAATATTCCGACCCAATGAGCGCTACGAGCAACCAAATAGCAATGATTACACCGGCAGACTTTCCTCAAACTTTCGCAGCAACATCCACCTCGATAACTGCAGATTACCCTCAAATATTTCCATATCAACAACGAACCGTCACTCCCGCGGATTACCCTCTAATGTTTCCCTGCGACCCATCTCAATACCTTAGTTGATCGAACTCCAATGCTGCAGATTTTATAATTCCGCACATTGTATTATGTAGAAGTCGGTGGAAGAGCGAGAATAAGATACAAGGCTGGTGATAGGACAGGTTCGCGTTGAAAAACTGCCGGGGTATTGGGAACAAGCAGAGGCTGGGAAGGCTCAGACAGTAATCGAGGGTGGCCGGAGATAATCGTCACTGGTATGATGTATCCTTGCTTTCCAATTCCCTCCTTTTCCACGAATTTAGTTTCCTCCAACACCTTCCACACTTGAAACCCGTGCCGCTGAAGATAATCAGGCAACTCGCTGGAAGCCTTCACTAACAACGGCTCTAGGCCATCATCATCCCAAAAAAACATATAGGTTGTCCTTGTCCTTTTTCCAGCTAGCACTTTTGAGAAAGGTAGCCAACTCATCCATGATTGATTGAGTCATGCCGAACAGGAGGCCGATCAGGTCTCGCGGGACGCGTGAGGATGGAGCGGACGACCTAATGTAGATGGTAAAAAATCATCTACTAGAATTAAGTTAGATGAGCACATGAGCAAACGATTTTTGCAACCTAAATCACCTTTGGCATCGAATGTTCGCTTTCGCAGGGAAATCGGAGCGTGGTAAAAAGTAACCGCGGGGCACGGAATATGACGTTGGATTTTTAGGCCTAACAAAGTAGGGTTTTTTGTCAAACCTCAAAATACGGCCTCCCTAGGCCATAAACAGGAACCTTGGTTTTTGTTATGGTCTGGTGGAAAAGTACGCTGTATTTCGTTCAACATTTTGCCTAATTCGCACCCCTTGGGCGATAAAGTACAGGACATTTTATCTCCGAGGAGAATGATAATGCGAAGGAGTCAGTTGATCTAACCCAATCTTCTATCCATTAGACGGTCACATCCGAATAGGGATATAGCACAACAAAACCATGCTTTTTAGCATCCAAAAGGGCATCATGATCGCCGGAAAGCGGTAGGAATAAGAGAAAATGCGAAGATTCACGTGATGAGCCGCGCCTCTACCGGTCTTACTTAAACCCGGTCGCCTCTGCTTTTTACATACATGTATAAATGACATGATCCTTAGCTACTATAGTATCGGCGTTTCTAATAGGATCCACAAAGGTACACAGCTATTCTTAGTCTTCGAGCGACATGCGCTCCATAAGAATTATGGCCTCAGCTCGGGGGTGGTTTGGAAACAGCGCGTCATTGGTAACACTGGCAGTTCCGATTATAACAGCAAGATTACAAGGGCTCGCGCTGGAACAGGCCATAAGGCGTATCGGCACGAAGACGTAGGCGGGGAGAGCATAGGTGGAATAATGAGCGTTTGTTGTCGCCGAGTCTTTATTACGTGAAGCGCGCGCGTCGACGAAATTATGTGATCGGAGCTTACTATCCGAAAGTTGTAAAGCACCAAATCCTGTGATGGGACGCTCAGTGTGCATCTTGGCCCCGACTTCCGAATATACCATGGATACCGGCTCGTGCTCCCAGGATTTATGCCCGAGTGCTAGACAACCATCGAATAGCTCTTCATTCTAACAAGACAGACGGGGATCTGTTATCCCTGCGTCGCCTTGGAGCGCTCGCATGTGAGGCTGGCCTTTCGCCATGATGTCACCTATGGTGGAAAGGAAGCTAAGGAGACTCCGTTGTGAGCGTACGATAAAAGGGGTGGCCGTTTGTCGGATCATCGTTTTCCCGTATGGAATTTCCCCTCTTCCAGCCTGACAGCGCTTCGAACTTAAATTCTCCGGCCGGCCGTTCATTCGCTTTTTACCGCATAGATCTGCTCAATTTTCAAAATTTCTGATATGCAACAGAATACGCCGATATTCTGAAAATGAAGTCAATGAATGATCAAGAAAGAACGACCCTTCATTCGTTGTGCGGTCGCACGGTTATCCGAGTCGACAACAATCTCGTCGTGAAATCGGGCAATCTCCGCTCCCACGAAGCCCAAAAATGTAAGTAGAAAACGAATAACTCAAACAAATTTACGCGCGCGGTGCGCATGGGTAAGCAGGGGTCTTTTTGATTTTATTGTAAATTTGAATGGTATAGTAGTTTTTCATTGATCACTTTAGCGCCCGTTTCAAATCGGAGGATGATGAATGCCAACTATTGGTCTTTGGTGATGGATATCTAGGCGTAACACCCACGATCGAAACGCTTCTGACTCCACGTGTACCCATTCATCTCCGTCTTGAAAATTCCAGGCAAATCATTCAATTGTGTGGCTGTATGCCGAGGTGGTTGATTGACTCATCTCGGCGCAATAGGAACAGTCACATAGCCGCCACTAGATGGAGGCGCTTTATTTGCAAAGTTCTTATCCACTTCATTGACGCCATACGCTTTCCGCTAGTGGTCCTTTTATTTTATGCCATTTCTCTCCTCGTGTGGATCATTCTCACGGTCACTAACGCTCCAGATTTTTGTGGGTATATTGCGCAAGCTGATTCAACATCGGTAACTTGAAAAAGATGCGGTAATTACTCAATAAACTTTTACCCCAATCTGATAACTTACCGTCTCAGTGCCAAACTAAAGAGTCGCTCCACTGGGACATCTTTTTTTGGCCAATGGTGGTCATTTAGGTTTTTGCTTTCCCGCTTTAGTGTGGGGTGTTGGAATTATATAGAGGCACCCAATCTGGACAAAGCCAGAGAATAGCCAACGAGTTTTGTATCAACAACCTTCAATCACTTGCCAAGATAAACACCGAAGCAACCACAAGAACTGCAATAGCACTTTTCATCTAAAAGATAGCCGACGACTCAAAGTTCCAGCATTGCCGCCCCAAGTCTGCGGCGCCAAAAATAATTGAATCCCAGCGCTCGGGAATAAACATAACGCTCAGAACGAATGTTATTCGTGCATATGAAACGAAGATGATGCCTAGCTCCCCTTCGAGGCGCCTGGTAGGGTTGCTTGGGACTCCTGATTATTCCTAAGACGTGCTATGATCGAAAAGTTATAAGAGGAGAGACCTTGTTCTTTTCTTGGGCATTTTTACTACATCTCATGCCCATATTATATTGTTCCCTCTCCATCCAAGGAAAAAAAAAGGACCTCACAACATCATGGCCACCAGAACTATTCACCTCATCTCTTTTCGCAATAGTTCATCTCAACGAGCTCACTTTGCAATTTTTGTTCCATCGGCAGCAGACCCTAAACGAGGGACTCTGATCCACGCCGTCGGTACACCCATGGCGGGCTACATCCTCGAGTTCAAACGGAACTACTCTCCTGCTATGACCCAACAGGGCCATGAGACTTTTCCGATTGGCCAAGTTTATTCGTCCAATATCGTTGACTCCGTGGACACAGCGATGACCAAAGACTCAACTCCCAGAGGCAACATTGAGATTGCTGCGTCTCAGGTCCCGACTCCTGGGATCAGTCAGAACTTCATGGCACCTGTCAATGATGTAAGTCCCCAGATTTGACTAATGCTTACTTTTCCGTGCTTTATTTTTATCTGCTTCAGACCACCAATAAGCGATGTCAGGAATGGACCATGGAGTTCGTCCGTCATTTAGTCTCCAAAGGTCTCATTACAGCGGAAGCAATTCAGATTGTTCAATCTAAACGTGATCCCCCAAACCATGGAATCGGTTTTCAGCCCGCCGGAAGACGTTCAATTCATCCTGAGTTGGCTTAAGTACGAGCAGTTGACGGAAGACGGCCTGTGGCGAAGTTTGATGCAGCTTGGCGCATACGTTCTTTTGTTGCATATCCCTTTGATTATCTAAGGACGTAGCTGGCCAATACATTTTATCTCGCTAGACTACTCGGCTTATTCGGTTTCACCGCAGAGGATCCCACACCTTGGCTCCTCACTCGTGGTGTGCTAACATCAAGGGGGATCCGTTTTTTTTTTTCAATGGTCTAGTTTAAGTATTTCAGAACAGAGATCCAAGCGGTTTACCTCCTACAGTTGTTATAATACGTGCGTACGTGCGTTCTCCTGCCGTTTTGTAATTTCTGCGAAGTATGCTTACTTCTCCTATCGGTGAGTAGCGTTCACTTCCAGGTAGAATTGGTTCACACTGAGCCCATTGCCATTGTGTACTCTGCAAAGACCTCAAATTCTCGTAAGCGTGGACTTAGAAAGTTGTCGACCCAGTCTCGCCGCCATTCGTCCTCGTACCAACAAGTGTAGAGTGCCTTACAGTACTCCCAGTAGTCTGGATACCATCCCGCTTGGGCCCAGTCCACGATAGCAATGATATGAGCTGGTTTGCTGGAAGAGATGATGATGTTCCCTCGGTGGAGGTCGCCATGAGTAAATTTAATGACCCCACCGTCCGGTAACAAAGACCTATAGGGGTCGTTGTATTTCTTCGAAGGAGGAAGCCATGATTGTGGTAAGGAGGAAAACCAGTCGTTGAAATCCTTGATGGTGAAGAAAGGCCCAGTTTTCGGGTATGATTGAAAAACATAATCCAGGAGTTGCTGGTGCCCCAGGGAACCTGGAAACATTCGATTAGATGTAAACAATATCCTTCACATTTTGGCCGGGGCGTACCAATATACTGATCGGAAGGATCTTGTTCAAATCGGCGCAGACGGTTGACTATTTGACATAACTCATCGCAGAGCGAGCTTTTGTCCTGGCTATTGAGCTCATTCCAGCCATCCTGTAGCGTCTGTCCTTGGATAAGCTCCATATAGAGGAACACATAGTTCTCCTCGTCGATCCGCCACCCAAAAACTTCGGGAACTGGAATTTTGTCACCAAAGGTCCGTTTGATCATCCAAAGGCACTGCGCTTCTGCGATCGTGACATAAGGGCCAAACTTGACGAAGACTTTTGACTCTTCAAAGATAACAGGCTGCGGCTGTGGGTTCGCGTGGATGTCTTTCGACAAAGCCCTCACTTGCGCTGGTGTCGGAAGGCTTTTGCTGGGCTCTTTGAAGAAGGAAGAGTCGAGAAAGTTCATCTCTCGCATCGACTCATCGGTTAGATTTTTTGAAGAGAATTTTGTCATTTTGGCTTGGGTGGCTTTCTTAAGGGTTGCTTAATGATATGTGAATGCCTTTGATGAGATTACTTGTTAGATGAGGAAACAAAGCTGATGGGACCCACTCAGATCGGCTCGGTATAGTTGGCTTATGTCAGCGAATCATGACTTCGGCAGAACCATTTTCCGTTTCCGGAGAATGGTGTAGTTGTAGATTGACAATTCGGGGATGGAATCGATGATAGCACAGCTATTTTTGGTCTTCGAGCGACATGTTTCCCATTTCCCCTAAGATTTCTGACCTCAGTTCCGGTTGGTTTGAAATAGCGTGTTCAATCATCGGTAGTACATCTTCTCACTGCTTTCATTACGTGCACACACTCTGCAAGCAAGGGGACCTGTATTTCTCATTATACTGTCTGTTCAGAGAGCGCCCCAATGTATCAGGGGCTCAATGTGCAGATTCTACATCAAAACGGCTTGGTTTTATTCTGGGGCCGTTTATTTACGCATCCATCATAGGCTGAACTCGCTGGTCTGTCCTGACTTGCTGGGGAGACCAAGCCACTCCAAAGTGGAGAAAGGAGCAACATCGAACCAATCATATAAGAGGGTCGTCGGAGAGGTACGAGCCGCTAGGGATCGTTGTCGCCCTCCATAAAACCAGAAAGCGAAAACCCCCAATTTCCCCCAAATCCAACCTCTATACCTACAGATCAATATACATCCTTTTGGCACTTTACGAATTCATGAATAGGAAGTAAACGGTTTAATTGCCTGGCTGAAGCTGCTCTCAAACTACAAATATAGAAATGAAACCAGTCTCGCTTGGAACAGGAAGGCCTCGAGACCTAAGCTTGCTAGCCCTTTTAGCTCTTCTCTTTGAAGACAAACTTTCCCAATTTTCATACAAAGTCAAATCCGAGCATGAAATCCTCGTTATGTGGCCCTGATCAGTAGATTCTTGGAGTATTTCGGCATTTGACGTATCTCCGGGCAACGAAGAAGCGCTCGGCCAGTCATCAACCTCAGCAGGCACTTGGGGAATCGTCCAAAGTCTACCATCCCTGTCAATAGAGAGGCCTTCGGGGACAGGCGCAGGCTCTTCATGGACAAGCCCCGAAAGATGAGACTTATTTGAGATGATGCCATTCGGTGTTTTCACTAACAACGCAGCAAGAAGACTAGTTCATCTTGGTAACCTTATACTTAATTTGTTGAAGATGAATCACCGTGCTGATCTTTCATAGAACATATGCGAAGAGATAATATCTCAAGAACCATTTTCATCACCGCATTGTCAAACTCATGATCTTGACCAATAATATCGTAAAACCCATGTAAACCAAGCCCTGGATCATTTAGCTTAAGTAAATGCTGCAAATTTCCTTGAATGTAACCTGGAAGCCAGGCTTCACCTGGGGGAGGCTTGAGAACACACCCCTCACGACCCGCAAGATCTGATATGCCTTCGCCAAGAGGCGAACTGACTGTCTCGTAGCCACCTGTGTATAAGAAATGCACCACGGTATGCCCGATGTCTTCATCAACATTAGACATGATAAAAGTTGATAAACCAAGAAATACAGGGGCGAATTTTTGGTGACTCCGAAGGAACTGAGCCGGAATGCCATACCGCTTGCTCCCAATAATGAGGGTAACCAAAGGGGATTCGTAGCATCAGTGAATAGGTTAGACAACAACATTTGAATGCTATCAAAGCACTTACGATGATAAAGGCCGGTGATAGTCAATCTTGGGAGAAATATCTGGGGTGAAGGGTCGCCCAGGCAGCTCATTGGCCTCACGCTGTTTCGTTTTCTTTTTTGCCATTTCTTGGCCTTACTGTAACTTTGCTGGTTATGAAGTGATCCCTAAAAGATTTTAATGAAAGATAAACGAGAGAGGAGGCATGACTACATCTGATATAGCCGGGAATGGGGAGAAGCAGGGAAATGCAAGTATGAGCTGTCCTGCAAAGCGGCCGGAACATGTCATCTGTGCAGTGACTGGCAATTTAGTGTCAGTCATTGAAATGTGCTGAACGAAATACAGCGTACTTTCCACTAGACCATAACAAAAACCAAGGTTCCTGTTTATGGCCTAGGGAGGCCGTATTTGAGGTTTTGACAGTTTGACACAATACTTTTTTTAAACACGTTCTAAAAGATGTTCATGTACTGCTGGCGCCATTATCGAAATAGGATCGTCCACTTGGTATAGTATTGCAGGCTCCTGGGATCGTGATGGCGTACTCCTAGTAGCTATAGAGCTCCCAGGACATGATGTCAAACCTCAAATACGGCCTCCCTAGGCCATAAACAGGAACCTTGGTTTTTGTTATGGTCTAGTGGAAAGTACGCTGTATTTCGTTCAACACATGACCTTGATGCTCCTATGAAGCGGTCCATCGGCCCCTGGGAGGTATGCTTGTGGGGTACTTTTCAAAACATCTGTTATGCATTATACGCACGGCATGTACAGTGACTCCGCAAAAGTTTTAACACCCCTGGCCCCACACCCCCCTATATTATGTAATTTTCTGCCGGAATAAAACTCCATGAATTCAAACTATCTATCTAGTACGGCGTATACCGCCCCTGGCCCTCAATAATAGCCTCCACCCGATTCGGCATGGTCTCAGAGAGATGCTTTAGATGATCTAGATCTAATTGATCCCATGCAAGCTGCGCTGTAGCTACCAAAATAGCCTTAGTTTCGTCATTGTTCCTCATG